CACAAAAGCAGAGCCTTTGGAAAGGTCAGCAAGGAAACGTTCTGCCTGACAGAGACGTTCTAGATCAAAGATGCAGTTTTGTCAGTTTTACGATTCGTAACGGCATTGCATCAACCTGACAATAAGCTGTTTCAAAAGCACAACATCAAGAAATCATTCCTGTTGTTCTGGAACATCATTTTTTATGTGGGAAAAAAAAAGATATTTCAGGAGAAACTGGAACAGGTTAAAAACTATTACCAACTTAGGAAAAGTAGAAGTAGAGGAATTTGATCATTTAAGCATTTTACGGAACAACAAATCATTTTTTATTGAATAAAACTGAAAGGGCTGCTCAGTGATGCAGTTGCTAGCACTGCCATCTTGCAGCAAGAAGGTTTCAGGTTCGATTCCCCGCCTGGGGTCTTTCTGCATGGAGTTTGCATGTTCTCCTTGAGCATGCGTGGGTTCTCTCTGGGTACTCCGGCTTCCTCCCACAGTCCAAAAACATGACTGTTAGGTTAAGTGGCTTCTTTAAATTCTCCTTGGGTGAGTGTGTGCGTGAAAGGGTGTTTGTCTCTGTGTTGCCCTGCGATGGACTGGAGACCTGTCCAGGGTGGATCTTGCCTCTCACCCGTAGACAGCTGGAGACCTGACACCAGCACCCCTCTAAACCCTGCTTGGGATAAGCATGACGCAAAATGGATGAATGGATAAAACTAAACTGGAGCTGTGTAGAGCTGCAGTTTGAAACATCATTGCTCTGCAGCATGTAGGTGTTTCTGCATGGAGTTGGCCTGAATTGAACTGTTCTACTTTCAGGGTAGTCTTTACCTGTTTCAGCTTTTAAAGGTAAAAAAATTATTTTCTTTGGTTTTGAAGCGTCATGTTTTCTGTGGAATCCCTGATGCTCACATTAAAGAAGGTTTCCTCTAAGCTCCTTTTTCATAATGCTGGAAGTCATCCAGGACGATAGAGTTCATTGTTTTGCATGGAGTTAATGCTTCTTATAGTAACAGTAGGCCTTCCTCTTCTGGTTTTTCCTCTGATTGTGATTTTCTGTTTTTCTCACATTCTCTGCATATGAGGACCAGTTTCTGATCTCACTGACTGCTCATCTATGGTGTCAACGAAGCAAGCTGCTTTCTGTCTCATGTTCCCCACTCCTCTATTGGACCTCATTCATTATTTTTTATTAATTATGGTTCTAGATCATACTGTTCCGGCAGACCAAACCAGCGCATTCAGCTCGGCAAAGAACTCCTGCTCTTCCTCAACACTGAAGTCCTCAGACATTTTTCTTTCGTTGTTTCTTTCTTTGCACAGGTAAACAGCACATTTCTTCTTCTACGCTTGCATTATTGGCAGAGCAGACGCTGAATGCGCACTTTCATCTGGTTTGGTCTGCCGGCTTCCGTAGCGTCGTGAACGCGCATGTGCGCGCTTTCAAGAAATCCTATACACTACTGTTTATGCTCTTAAAACATTCTAAATGACTTCGTTTCGAGTAAATTCTGGATGCTACCCACTCAGGACACTTGGAATACATTGGACGAGCAGTATGGAGGAATATTGACACGTTTTTTGTGGACTTTTATGGACCTTTCTGCCTCGGGCGCCATAGACCTCCATTATTTGAATGTCAGCAGACAGCAAGAAGCCTCCCAGATCTCCAGATGCATTTGAGATATCAAAAAAGTACTCCAGAGTGTTGTTCAGCATGGGGGTGAGTAGAAAATGAAGGCTAATCATGTTTTGGGTGTACTATTCCTTTAAGATCTCCGATTAAAGCTAAGATTTTACCTCTGAAATGCACCACAGCATCAGGCTCGAAATTCTGAAGCAGACATAGCTCTATGTTTTCAGTCAGTCTATATTTTGGTCATTTGATCTTTCATTTAGAAATTGATAAAAACCAAAAGTGATATTTGATTTGTGTTTAAAAAACACAAAGTTTAAATTGAAATATCAGGCATTTCTATTTTTTTCTGTCAAAAGGCAACAAGTGAAATATACAAAAAGAGGCCTTATTATGGCTTTTTTATTTGTTTGCTTTTTTCAGAGAACAGATGTGGTCTCTTGTGTCACGGCAGCACCACATTTGACAGAGAGCAGATGTTAAAAGTGGGAAAGAAGAGAGATTTTTTAAATGTCATTGCTCAGGAGATAGGGGTTTATTCTGATACCCTTGCACTGTAAAAAATCCAAATCTAGGTAGCCTATGTCATTTTTTTCTTAAAATTAGTGTGTTGGTTCTGGAATTGAGGAGATAAAAGTGACATTTTGCCAATGGAACAAGAAGATTTAGATTTAAAATAAGAAAACACAACCGCATTGTCTTATTTCCAGTTCGTATTACAGTATCTACTTATCTTATTAAATAATATAGACTAATACTCAAAATACTCCTTCCATTGGCAAACTATGTCATTTACCTATTCAAATCAAGGGGAAATACACTTAATTTAAGAAATTTTTTCTTATTTCTAGATAATTTTTCCAGTGTGGGTTGCTGGTTTACACCCCCCCAACCATGTCAGATTTGACTTTAGACAAGACACTTCCCCGCCTTGCCTACTTTTGTTGGTCAGAGGGCGCTGTGGTATGGATTGTATGGCACCCTGGGTTTTGTCAGTGGCAGCTGTGGCTGTAATGTAGCTTAGCCCATCGGTGTGAAAATAGGTGAAGGACTGATTGTGGTGCGAAGGACTTTAGAGTCCCGATAAAGTGCAATACCAGTACAGACCATTTAATCCATTCTATTGCAAAATCTCGCCACATTTCTTCTGGAAGATCTTCTTGCTACTTACTCCTACTTGTGATATCATCCTTAACAGATCTATGGTCGTAATTAATTAGTGCTTCCGTTTTCACTGAGGCCAGTTTGTCAGATATAACATATCTTAAGAAAATAACCTTTATGCAGGTATTAAACATACGTAGAGTTATGAGGTAATATTCTAATTGTAAATGTTGTTTTGTCAGTAGTTGTAGGCAGAAAATAATAAATAACACAAAGTAAACCTTAAAAAAACATCAGTCTCTTTAATTAATGTAAAAAATATATAAATTATGATTGTTTCTTCCACAACATTTCTTGCATTACCCTTTTCATTTGAGCCCAGGCTATTTTTAATATTGACAAATGCAAAGAATGTTGGTGTAAATCCTACATATCATTTCATGCAAATCCCAAAGCTCATGGAAAATACATGTAGGAAACTACATAAATCCTTAAATGCAGTCAGGATACATGTTAGACCTGCGTCTTTTGGTTATTTAACGCTAAAGTATTGATGTTATATTCTTGGGATTCCCAATAGTAATCTGGATCACATTTATGATTCATGACAAATTGAGTAAGAGCCTCCATTTTCACCAAAATCACAATTGGTCCTTGGCCCTAGATTGGTCCTTGGCTGGTCCTAGGTTGGTCCTTGGCTGGTCCTAGGTTGGTCCTTGGCTGGTCCTAGGTTGGTCCTTGGCTGGTCCTTGACTGGTCCTTGACTGGTCCTTGGCTGGTCCTTGGCTGGTCCTAGATTGGTCCTTGGCTGGTCCTAGACTGGTCCTTGGCTGGTCCTTGGCTGGTCCTTGGCTGGTCCTAGGTTGGTCCGTGGCTGGTCCTAGGTTGGTCCTTGGTTGGTCCTCGACTGGTCCTCGGCTGGTCCGAGGTTGGTCCTTGGCTGGTCCTTGACTGGTCCTTGGCTGGTCCTAGGTTTGTCCTTGGCTGGTTCTTGGCTGGCCCTTGGTTGGTCCTTGGCTGGTCCTTGGCTGGTCCTAGGTTGGTCCTTGGCTGGTCCTTGGATGGTCCTTGGCTGGTCCTTGGATGGTCCCTAACAATTCCTCTTTAAACATCAATCTTTTTACTAAAATATTCTTTTTGTCATTATTTGTGGACATTAAGATCTAAAGAAAAGCGTCATCTCCTGATCAGACCATATAATTCAGTGAAAGGGTGGAGTTAGAGTAAAAATATGTTCATGAAGGGGATTATGCAGGGAGTTGGAGGGAAGCGGGCTGCCATTTGTTTGCCGTTTGACTGGTAAGGGCCATTTTGAACGGCTGCTACTTCACATCAGCATAGATCTGAGCGTTCGCCATAATGCTCTTATTCTGGTGAAAAAACTACACAACCCCAGTTTGTGTTGCATCCCTGCCATCTGATCTGTGTAACTGGAATCTTTAAGAAACACTTCCAACTTCTTTCTTGCCCAACGATTCTTTCTGTGTTTGAGAAATTGACAGCAGTGCAGCCGTTCTTATGCCAGGACTCGTTTCTAACATCTGTTTGCATCAAATTTTAGATATAAGGCCAGGAGAGTAAAGCAGGAGCTACAATACATCTCCTCTGATAAATGTTTTGACAGTTAGCTTAGCTTTTGCTACCATTGATTTTGATGGTTTGACTCTTATTGAGACCAAATAGATATTATGTGTATGTTTATTTATTTTCAGCCTATAAGAAGGTACAGTATATCTTTTTTGAACTTGGATCAATTCTGCACCTTTAAACTGTACCATAATGACTTCTATAGCTGCAGCTAATGATTCCACTGGATATTTAAAGCTTTTCTAAATTTAGCCTCTGTGTCACTCCTTCCTCTCAGTCCTCCTCACCAAATTCATTATCACCTCTTTCTGTGAGGCGGCCGTGCTTCACATGTTCCTGCTCAGCTGTTTAAACTTTTAAAGCCACTTAGATTGAAGCAACTTTTCCATTAACTGAGATGTGTGATGATTTCATCCATTATGTGATACGTTTCGTTTTTATCAGGCTGCGTAGTTTTACTCAGCATGTCTTCTGGTTTTATATGAGAGTTACATTTCAAATTGGTCATGCATATTGGAAAGCAGATGAGACGTTTTCTTACCCCACTGAGTATCAGTCAGGAACATTTCATAGAATCTTGCATAATGCATGTGAGGGGAGACAAAGCATATACCTCAAACGCTCTGATCTCTCTCCTCCTGCTAATTGTTGCTTGCAAATGTGTTGACTCTACTTTTCTCCTTTTTTTCACACAGCTACTGGATCTGCAAGCATTCTTAAACGAGCATCCTGGTATAAAGAACACCTCTGGCAGTCATGAGGAACAAAGGGTAAGTTCTCATTTCTCCAACTGTAACCCTATGTTTTCTTTAGACCACCTTGTCTTCAGAAAACGTCTTTACTTTCTAATGATTAAGAAACATATCTTTAGTTTGAAGAATAACAAGCAAAGCTGGATTCTTGTACGGAAAACATAAAAAGCCAAAGGAAACATCTGGCGATGGGTCAGAAACAAGCAGTTCTAGCAGATAAACTACAGTTTTCATTGTTGGGAATTCTCCACCAGCTTCTTTCTCTCATACTTCAGATTTTGTAAACCAATAACGTTTAACTTCAGGTGTTACAGTAGCAGCCATTCAAAATTCCCCACTTTCCTTGATGGGTCCTTGGCTGGTCCCTTACACTTCCTAGTTAAACATCAATCTTTCTACTAAAACATTCTTTCTGTCATGATTTGTGGACATTAAGATGTAAAGAGAAGCATCATCTCCTGGTCAGACCCTATAATTCAGTGTTAGGGTGGAGTCAGAGTAAAAACTCCAGTGGTTGGGAGAGGGCTGCCATTCGGCTGGTGTTTGACTGGGAAGGGTCATTTTGAATGGCTGCTGTTGTATATTGGATGTTGGCAAAGCAGAGACATCACAGCCATGAGTACATCAAATTACACTCTTTAAATCAGCACTTCAGAAAGATTAAAATCTGTTAAAACATTTGTTTGGTTTTGGATTCATTTTTAAAATAAAGCTGTATTTTTTGACTCATGAATGAGATTGGTTACAGTGCTTTCATTTCTACTTCAAGACTCCTTATTTTGATCAGTCAAAGCTGTTAGAATATGGATGGTTGAGATTTAATCTTGAGATATCAAAATCAAAATGTTCAAAATTCATTCTAAAAAAAATATTCAGATTGTAATTGGATTTTCCTCTCATGCTCATTTCTCTTTAGTCTGGTCACACAATAAGCAGCCTTGAAGAAGAAAAATAAAAAAAAAACTGTTTGGAAAATCTATAACTGATTTCATTTGTGAGGCAAAAACTGCAGCTAAACTTGCAAGTACAAAGCATATATATGTTAGACTTAGAGACTTAGATTTATTTTGTCATTTTGTTTACAGGAAAATACAAAATAAATTTCATTAAGAACAGCTCCTCAGACAATTTCATTTTTTCAAAGTTAAACCTTGAAAACAGTAACATAAACATATGACTGTATATTTACAGTTCTAACATTTCAGGGTTTATTTCTTTGTTTGTTTGTTTTTTTCAAATAATAAAATATAATAAAATACAATAAAATAACCCATTTTATTCAACATTCAGCAGTGTAATGGCAGTGGGAAGAAACTGTTATGGAATCTGCTGGACCTACATTGGATGCTCTGAATATGTAATTCACTTAAATGTTTGGGTTGAATATTCTAAAATAATAAATTAGTCACATTTTGATGATAAATATTTTGAAAATTAAATGTAAAGCATTATTTTTTTATTATTTAAATTAAAGACAAAGTGGAGGATGTTGTTTTTCCGGGTGAATCATCCAAATAAGTGGTCCTCCTAAATGTCCATCATTCTGGTGATATGTTTACGTAAGGCCGTCCTACGTGCTCGTTCCCATTTTCACTAACCGGTGGTGAGTCTGATATGGTGGAAAAATTGCAAATCTTCTTTTAAAAAGTTATTTTGTATGAGCGATACAGACAGCAACTTTTAAACAGAGCGTGCACCAGGAGAAATGGGCTTGTGCACGCTCTGCACGTTTAGTAGGCGTTACCTCTCGGCAGCAGGTACAGGGTTGTGAATGTGCATTTTTTTTATTTTTATGGAGAAGGTGGGTCTTTTTAAAGAAAGTGAAAATCCTCCACTAAATCTTTAATCTAAAAATAATTTGCAATCTTGGATGAAAATTTAGCTTGGATGATTTATTTCTGATTTTAAATTAAAAAGCATTTTTTGATCATTTTGATTATAAAAATTGGGAGATATTTGCTTCCATGTCCTGGGATAGGTCCAGGATGGGTGATTATATGTATCGATATTCATGGAACATGTTGTTGTATGGAGGCAGTGAATCTGGACCATGCTCATCTATCAGCATGGCCATGTCTCAGCCTCCTCCTCTTTACGTCAGCTTAGCTGAGCTACGATCCCTGCTTATACACCTTCTCTGGCACATAATTAATTCCGCCTCTCATATCTCTTCCTATGTGTCAGCACCTTTGCTTCTTTATAGGCTCCTTCTGAAATGAACTGACACGTCTGCTTTGAAATATCACCAAATTAAGACTGCTGGCATGTGTAAGCAACGCAAATAAACCCAGAAATCCACAAATCAGTCGCAGGGCGGCGCAGATCCTCTCCTATTAAAATGTTGTCCACCCTGTAATCTTGGAAAGGTTGTTTTGTGTTGCTGGATGGTTTGGACTGATTCCACATTGATCATGGCTGGGTTTCATTCAGCCTCAGCTTGCTGCTCATCGCTCATGTGTGGGATGCTGGGCTCGTTCTGTCATTAATCCCAGTCTGTGTCGCTACATGCTTTCTTTTCCCTAGAATATCTTTTTCTTCCAATATGTCTTCAGGCTTCCTGCTTTTCAGACTTATTTATTCCACTGCTTGATCCACAGTGGGAGCTCTTAGTCAGCAATAAGGGCTATCCACCAGCTACGTCTCCATAGTAACCAACTTGTTTGCTAACTTTAAAGTAGTAGGGACGTCATATTTAAATTTCAAATCTTTCAGCGGCTCAGTTGTTTCCCAGAGGTCAGTTCTAAGCTCAGATCAGAAGATCCAGAGGATAAACATCAGCTTATCAAACTGTTCCAGATTCTGACAAATAGTAGACAAATAAACATTTGTCCTGTTGTGGTTCCGGTTCTGGGATGGGTCCTTTTTTTTATTGCAGACTATGATTTGAGGCGGTCCTTAGACATTACATTAGTTTATCAGCTTGCATGATATAATCAACGCTGAGTTTATTCTGAGTAAACTCTGTTTCAGATGCAGTGGCACCAGAGTAGAGTCAGTGTTAGTATCTTTGCTTGTGGGACACATTTTAATTAAACCGAGTTCAATTAAATTGATTTTTAGCACCGATTCACTTCACAGGTCATCTCCCAGCTCTCTGCTTTTAAATCGGAGCAACAGGCGCAAATTATATGCGGAGTTAAATAGTCAATAGAAAGTAATCAGGTTTTTACTTAATTGAATCAATGGTGTTTTTTTTATTAGTTTAAGTGCAATTCGTTTTGGTTGATGCTAATTATGATCCTGGAAATATCAATGGAAGTAAAATATTTATCCATTTGATCAGAGGATTCAGTCGACCTTCTCAAATGAATATGAAGACAGTAATGTAAAGGTATTGTGACCCGAGGGCAAGGTGTGGCGCTGATGATGAAGGCTTAAACAGCTGGTGGTTAAACCCAGACCCCCATGGTTAAAACCTCACTATTAAGATAGTTTGTATTAATTACTGACTGATTATTTTACATATATTAATATGTAGTATATAAATAAGCAATGTTACTTATTCAGTGATGGCTGTTGGAGTTTTCTCCAGAGGGGGCTATAAATTCAAAATAGACTTATACACTTTATAAAAACAAAATATAATTTAGTCTACAGGTTTACTTTTTGTACATAAATCTTGCCTTTCTGATGCTTTGTGAAGGTAAATCTGTGTTTTGCATGGTCCAATATTGTTTCACAAACCTAAAAAAAAGTACTAGTTTAATAATGGAGAAAAATTTAGTCAGTGTTATATTTTTTTTTATAATTTTTGTTTTTTTTGAGAATTTCTTTATTTAAGGGCAACTATACAAATTAACAAACATCTAGAAAAGTACACTTATGATTATATTATTATCCATGTGAATCCCAGATTCTTCATTCTTCTTTGCCTTTTATAAAAAGTGCTTTAAATCAGTCCTTCCTGTCTTTATCCATGCTGGATCAGATGCTGACATTTGGAGAAGGAGGCAGGGAAAGCAGAATAAAGCTTAAGCCTCGCTGCATGCAGTTAGCCAAGCCTTGTAACTAAACCCGGTCCTAGAAAAGGATGTTTCTTGCACCATTTTCTCTCTCTCTCTCTCTCTCTCTCTCTCTCTCTCTCTCTCTCTCTCTCTCTCTCTCTCTCTCTCCTATGCGTCTCCAACTGACTCGACCTGTCAATCACCCGCAAAACATCTGCGCTGTGGCGGGAGGTGATGAGCAAATACACTTCCTGACTGTCATGGTTTTGGATTTGTTCAAGTTTTATCACTGAGTTTTCATTGGTCTTATTTTTCATTCTTGTGTTCTAGTTATTTTTGATTGTATTTTAGTTCTTAGATATGTCCTGTTTGCCCTCTTGTGTCAGTCTCCTTTTCCCTAGCTCCTTTCTTGCCTTGGTTCACACCTGCTCCCAATCTGCTAATTAGCCTGGTCTTTGTTTCTCTCCCATATAATCTGCTCCTGTTCAGTCACTCTTTGCTGGTTTGTCGTCATTACTTTGTCCCCTTCGTGTTGTGAGTATTCTTGGTTTTCAGCATTTTTGTTTTTTTTGTGCATTTATGTTTTTGAATTTTTGCTTTTGTTGAACTTTTGGTTAATAAAAACCTTCAAGTAACAACCTTAAGCTTTGTGTCTGCATTTGGGTCCTGTCAATCTCCACCCCCGCTGTGACACTGTCACCTCAGGTCGCTGCTTATCTGTGCCCAGAGCTCTCCTATAGCTATTTATTGCAGAGGGGCTACTGCACATGTACAACTTTTAAGAAGAGTCAATGGGCAAAGATTTTTGCGCCCCAGGGCAGAACATCACCAATCTGAGGGAAAATGGAATGACGCTATACTAGTCATTAAAGATTAAATATTTACCTTGCACATCTAAAATACATATTGATATATTTTAAAATATTTTACATGTTAATTTAAAATTAAATAAAAAATAATAATATATTTTTTTATGTCTTAATCAGGGCCATTGGGTGGGTGTGGCGGCGCCCTAGCCAACCCTCTAATTGCCAGCCGCCGCTGCTTATTACTTATACGAAGTACTTATTAGTT